CTTACTTGCTGTGCACAGCTGTTCCTAGAAGTGCATTTTGTGTTGAGTTTCTCGCGACAAAGAAGAATCATGGACGAGAAAGGTATACTGCTCGCGTGCATAATTCCTTCCTATTTCTCAGTGCTGGCATGGGCAATTCAAAACCAATACGATTGAGAATTTGGTTTAACCTACAGAAGTCATTGGTTCACTTTTCACAAAAGTTTAGTTATGATGATGTTTAAATTGTTTCTGATGGTTGTAATCTAGTCTGGCGAATAAACGCTCGGTGAAACTTCGCAGCCTGTTTCCCTTTGTGCTTTCACCTGCTGTGGTAGCATAGCCTTATTGGGTGTCGTGTGACTATGCTGGAGGACGCAGGTTCGACTTCCGGCCACGGCGGCCGTATTCGAATGGGGGTAAACTGCAAAGAACATCCATATGGTGGTAGTGGCACGTATAACTCTATCAATTGTATATGATCGTACTTTCACGCATGGACTGTAGAGTGGTATCAGGTTTCCTACAATGTTGAAAAAATAAGTGTGATGCTTTTTTACGCGTCTCGTTGAATTCATGAGTGCTGTTGGTGCCGTGCGAAACTAAAAATGCGTGGGCTTACCAAGTAGGTCGACACCGAAAAAATTCATTATTTTTTTACACTCTAAGGTAATCAATAAAGCAAGACTGCTTGCGAAGCAGAGCTCCTTGTATTCGTGACAAATTGGTAGTATGAAACAACACGAGACACACATGGAAGTGTGCGGAGCATCGTGCGAGTGCCTGACGATAAAAAAAGAGAGGCTTTTACTTTACACTAATAAAACAAAAGAAAACGTCACTCCTGCATTGCTTGCAACAATTTTAGGTAAAAGCAATCGCTCGCGACTGGCTGCGGCCGGCTATAGGCTTGGCGTGCGCATGCACGCGAGCAAGACCCCCGTGATTGAGGAGAAACTTGAACGCTGAAGGAGGAACGTTGCTCCTTTGGTCCTTGCCGCGAGAGGGCGCGACGGGTAAAGCGCCCGAAAGGGAGGAAGTCACTGCGCCGAAGGACGAACGGAGCCCGTTTCTCCATTCTCACTCCCTTTTTTTTTTTTTTAGAGTGCATGATGCACTCGTGGCCGTTTCGCTAGGTTCACATGTACCGAATTCGGTATTACGTGACGCGAATAGACGACATAGGTAAATGACACATCCAGACATGATAAACACGACATGCGTGTCATGCAACAACATGACTACATGCCACACTCATGATGTGCTTGCGCCCGTTTTGCTATAGCTTCACTTATGCAAAATATGGTATTACGTGACGTCAATGGATGACGAAGGTATGTGATTGGTGCAAACATGATATTCATGAGATGCGTGTCATGTGAGCACATGACTACCAGCCACAGTCAAGGCGCCAATACATTTCGACGTGATGCGGTGCGCGTGCTCGCCGGTGTTCAATTCATTGCGTCACGCCGGCGTTGCAACGCCAGGCACCAGTCCTGACTTATACTCGGAGGCACGCACCGCGCTGCGTTGCTTCGACGCATGCGCATTTCAGCACGTCCGCTGTCCTTCCATCATGAAAAGAAAGAGATGCAGTGTTGTCTGGGTAACGCATCGGCGTGAAATGCAGCATGTCGCATTTCGCGCCGGTTGCTGTCGGGCCGCACCGACGGACACTGGTCACACCGGTCGTGCCTGGCGTGCTCGCCTTTTGCTAACGCAGCATCACTGTGCCCGGCATGTGCGTGCGTCAACGCGACATTGGAGTATATTGGGCCCTTAATGATGTGCTCGTGGCCGTTTCGCTAGCTCCACATATACCGAATTTGGTGCTACGTGATGTCAATGAACCACGAAACATATGAGTGGTGAAAACATAATAATCCTCACACGCGTGTCATGTAAGAACATGACAACATGCCACGCTCATAGTGTTCTCGCGGGCGTATCACTAGATCCAAATATACTAAACTTGGTATCGCGTGACGTGAATAGATGACGAAGGTAAACGACGCATACAAACATAATAATCATGACACAGAAGCCGTGTACGACATCATTTATTTACCTCCACCTCGTAACGTTGTGATGATTTTAAAGTGACCTATCAACCTTTCTCATTCGTGCTTGGCATATCATCGATTCACATTGTGCGTGCGATCTGTGAATTTTACGCATTCGTTACGCATTCGTCTCATTTGACGCATTTATCATAGGAAAAGTGCTATTTAGTCGACTCATTAACACAATGCCAGGTGGAGACGTTACCTTGCCTCCATGGTATATAGCACTATCTATACCAAAAATAGCTATGCGTAAACTGTCCGTAAGCTCATGTTTTCCACTTACGCTCGCCCCGCGAGAAATCCTGGTCAGCCACCACCGTAAGCATGACGTGCGTTGCGTCAAGTCGAGCAGCGGTGGTCAATACATGTTGCGAGTAGGCTACCTTTACCCAAGTTTGTCTCCACTGAGTGACGGTACTCTTGGCTGTTTGACTGCTTTCTTTTATTCCGCTCTCACCGTTGCTCCACCACAAGCATGCGTGACCACAAGGGTTTTCTTAGGCGTTCGTATAACCATTGATTATGAACGTTAGTGATCGTAATGAGGGTGTATCTCTAAGTGTCAAAAAGGGTGTTTAAGACATATCGGTGAGCTAGTTGGTAAGACAACATTACAGATTATTGCTCTGCATACTATGGGTTACCCAAACAACACGCACGCAAAGGCATGACACAAGCGCTGAATAGCAGCGCTTCTATTGTCCTTTGGTGTGCATGTTCTTTGTGTGTGTGTTCGCTGCGATTTTCTTTCAATTGGTGCATTCACGTTAAAGGGTGTCGTAGCTCTCAGACACCAAAGACATTGTTCGAGATCTCTCATATATACGCAGTAAACACTCTACTACTGTGCGGACAAGTTTCAATTTCATGTTATACTGACTCCTATGGCGCAGCAGTCAACCATGTCTTTTTTTCTTTGGCGTCTAATGGTGTTCATTTGCGACATCCTTTCCGTGACGGAAATCCGTCGCTGAAGTCCTGCTAGACCTCGGCCTAAAATATTTTCGTGTTAAACGTTCGGCCCAGTGGCTTGTACGTCTGCGAGGCAGAAGGGGAAGGTATCAGAATATTTCTATTTCACAAAACCTTCGTGAAATAGAACGGCCGTCTTCCTTGCTCTTGTCAATCAATCAATCAAAGAACTTTATTTTCACCAAAAAGAACATTTACGGTGAAAAAAGGTGGCCGGGAAAAAAGCTGTCCAGTCTATTCATTGAAGCGTAGGTGACCCAAAATTCACGGGGTTTTCAGAAGCAAATAGAGAACGAGATTCGTCATGCGCGTCGACATACTCAGGAAAGCCTGTGGTTTTTTTTTTTTTTTTTGTTGTTGTTAACTGTAGTTTGGTCGTGGTAACTGTGCAGCCTTGTCAGATTTATTTTCGTAACAGCGCTGAAGGTGTGCATTATGAGACGGCGTCATAAACTTCATTCTCAACTAAACATAGCCTAGAATCCCGCTAGAGTACTGCCCGCGTTCTGCAACCTTTATGTATCAGCAAGAGGGTACGACGGGGCTTCAGGCGATCGTTGGTAAGGCGGGCATTAGCGGCGAGCACCGCTTTGGATTCTTCAGTAAAGAAATATATGTTTGCGCTGGTAAGTGTGATATATAATCAAGTTGACCATTCTGGATACGTGTTTAATCAATTTTATCTGTGAGTACTTACGCATTAATAATTCATATTGTTTCAATCGTAATTAAGGTGCCAATCAGAAGTAACGATGTCCGGCCACAATGAATAAGGTGCTCGGCTCCTGATTTGAAGGTTTCGGATTTGATCTCGGCCATGGTGGTCGCGTTTTGGTCGAAGCAAAATGTTTGAGACCCGTGTATTGTGCAATGTCAGTGCACGTTAAAAAACACAAACGGCTATGAATTACTGGATTCTTCCACTATGGTTTCCTTCATAACCGTATCGTGATTTTAGGACGCTCAGCCCAGAAGTGATTATTGAAAGTAACCTAACCTTTATTGAAATATATCATACTCAAAAATAATGTTACAGCATGCCAAGTTGTGCCAACGTTGCTGTGCATCCGCTTGGCCCTCTCGGTTATCAATCAATAACTGAACGCCGAAGCACACCTTACTCAGAAAATCTTTAAACCCACTTAAGGAGTTCAAGTTTTGAAGGGGCGTAAAAGGCAAACATGAAGTTCACGTGCGTTGATGGAATAACGTTCCAGAGATTTCGTAGCACTTGTTTCCACCCCAACAAAATTCGTACTTTCAAATTTAATGACTTTATGGTGGCCCGCATATCATCTGCGAAATTTAAATGGCCCGTCTCCACGAATAGCCTACAGGCGTGAAATTCGCCATGAGCACACTATCTGACTGCCTGCGCTACGCCGAAGATTTGCCAAGGGCTTTAACAATGCGCAGCCCGAAAAACAAAATGAGCTGTCCTCGTTCTACAGGATAAACTGTTTCTTTCATGAATCAGACAAAATTCACACGGAGGTTTCCTTTTAGCCGTGGTTAGTTTCAGTGCTTGTGATTACTTGTACTGAGTTTTTAAAACGTCCTCAATATTTTGTTGCAAAATATTCTACTCGTGGTGCGAATCATGTGCTACCCTTACCTTAATTTATTGATAATAACTACACTACTGCGTAATTTTTACACTGTGAAACACTCATGTTCAAGTCTGACGTAAATTGTTTTCTGTCATAGGTGTTTGACAGAATGTTTTCGTGTTGTGTTGCGTAACTTGTAGCTTCACCTCGGTGGTACTGAGCCTGTGCATCATTTCAAAATATTATATCTTCGCATAAACATCACGTTGCCTTCACTTGTACCCCCATGCGGCTACTGCAAAAATTCTAGTGACGGCAATCGTTTTCCATAGCTAGAGCTGTAACATTTCTTTGGTAGTGCTAGTGGTGTAACGCGATCATCCTTCCTCCATGAAAAGCATTATTTCACTTCCGGCCGGTGCCTACGCAGGTATTCTCTCGGCTTGTGAAGGCCGTTAAGACCATCGAAAAGAAGCTGCCCTTCTCGCGGGACGATCGCTTCGGTTACCTCACCTTCTGCCCTACCAACCTGGGCACCACCATTCGGGCCAGTGTGCACATCAAGATACCCAAGCTGTCGTCCAACATGTCCAAGCTGGAGGAGATCGCCGCTAAATACGAGCTGCAGATACGAGGCGAGTAACACCCACATTTTTACGAATACTTTCTTGCCCCATTTAGTTTTCACTGTTAAAAACTGCTCCTACATTTCGAGACTCATTCGATCGCTTCTTCAGGGGGGGGGTGTGTTCGGCCGGCTCTAGTGCTTATTGGTAGTTGTCTGCCTCTCCATTATATTTCCTGTCACTGCGTTGATTTGAGCATTGATTCCGGAGGCCGTGTACTACATGCCGGTGGGGTGCCAATCCTTTATTTGTCAATACCAAAACTTCATTATCAGATTTCAAGGAATACGCCTTCTACAAGCCCTTCTATAATCTTGAAATTATTACGCGAGGAAGTAAAATGTGAAATATGAAATGTTATGTATTTCAACTGTACTGAAAGCGAGTATTATTCGTTCGAGCATTCAAGTTGTCTTCTTATTGCCGAATGGAACACGACGACTTCTCGTTATTCCTAAAAAGTAATTGGTTGATACTTTTTTGTTGATACTTTTTTATGATTACTTGGAGATTCGTCTTTATTACCAGAAAGATTTACATGTTTGTGTTGTCTTGTGTTGCAACCACATCATAGTGTAACATACAAACACAAGGGGGGAGACCAGATAAAGCGATTTAAGCGATCGACCAGATAAAGTAACAGAGACGCGCATCCGTCGGATCACTGCCGGCATCGCATTTATTGGCAAGCCAGCGCAACTTGAAAATGGAAAAATGAATCCCGCGCCATTGCTGTACCAACCGGAGAGGCTGGTGGCAACGCTGGCGTTCTGAAAGCATGGCGGTTTTGACTCGCGAAAAAAAAATAGAAGATCCCACGTACAGTGCACGAATGATAGAAGCGTGATACGTAACTTTAAAATCAGCACAGTGTTAAAAGGTGGAGGTAAATTATACAGTACATGACTACCACGTCATGATTATCAAGTTTGGACGTTTCATTTACCTTCGTCATCAAACAACGTCTACTGATACCAACTTTAGTACATATAGAGCTAGCGAAACGGCCGCCAGCATGCTAAGAGTCATGTAGTCATGTTTTGCATGAAATTCATATCATGGTCATCATATTTGGACACGTCATTTACATTCATTGTACATTTACGTCATGTAATACCAAATTTTGTATATGTGGAACTTGTGAAACAGCCGCGAGAACGGTATGAGCGTAGCATGTAGTCATGTTTTACATGAAACACATATTACGATTGTCAGGTTTGGATGTGTAATTTACCTTCGTCGTTTATTCACTTTCCGTAATACCAAATTTGGTACATGTGAAGCTAGCGAAACAGCGGTGAGCGCGTCATAAAGAGCCCAATATACTCCGACGCATCCTTGACGCACGCACCGGCTGGGCGCAGTGATGCCACGCTAGCTGAATGCGAGCACTCTATAGTGTGACACCAGGCGTGACTGGCGCGACCAGCGTTCGTCGGCACGTTCTGGTGGCAACCGGCGCGGAATGAGACATGCTGCATTTCACGCCGACGGCGTTACTTAGACAGCACCGCGACTGCCTCTCTTCGTGAAGGAATATCGCCGTGTGCGCTCAAACGTGCATGCGTAAATGCAACGCAGCGCGGCTCGCGCCTGCGAGTATATGGCATACAGATTCACAATGAAGGTCAGTGGGTGTCACACCTGTCCCGTTTATTAGGGAGGCGATCGCCGGGCTAATTCCAAGAGCCGAAGTATCGGCCCCCCGAACCGCACCACGAAAGCGTGGACAATTTAGAAGTGGTCCTTATTGGTGCGCCAGCGGACGCTGGCTGTGGCCCAAAGAACAAGACAGAGCCGAGAGTTGATAAACAAACAAAATTATATTCTCATTAACGGCAGATCAAAAACAATACACACGTATGCACACTCCACAATAGTTACATACAATACGTCACCAAACAGACAATGTACTACACAGTACAATCAACCACACTTGAAACAACGGACACAGACAACAATACGCACTACAATGCAGTCGCATGCATTGAACAACCAAGACACTTAAAGACTAAAGAGATATAAAACCTATTCAGTCCAAAGTCCTTGGAACAAAAGTCTGAATGATACTCTTCCGAGAATCACTCACTCAAAGTCCAGCGTTGCTGTCGTTCCGCAGCTCTCGAAGTTCTCTCCCAGGAAACCTCCCGTCTTCAATTGGCCACTCTTCAAACTTCAACTTCTTCGCCGGAAATCCGTCGGCTTCACACACGCAGCTGTTGCCCGCGTCTTCGCTCGATAGCGGTAAACCCACGCTCTTGCCCGTAGCTCGAGCCGTCCCTACGGACCAAAACTTCGCCGACTACACGGCGGAATCTCTACGCACTCTGGCGCTCACTTCCGTCTCCTCCTGTTCTGTCACTACGGGCAGAACCTTCGCCGACTACACGGCGGAATTCCTACGCGCTCCGGCGCTAACTTTCCGTCTCCTCCTGTTCTGTCGTCTCGGCCGCTCGATTAAATACCTTCCGCGCCACCTTCCAGAAATTTCTGGTCATTTCGTCGGCGCGATACGCGGCGAAAGCTGGGAAGAGGGCGAGACAGTTGGAATGCCCTCTCCGGCCGGTGAGTCAACTCGGTATGGCCCCGCCCCCTTCGTTCTGGAAAAATCGCGGGCTTGCTGGGCCGCCGAAGTGGGGTGAGGAGGATCGTCTGCGAAGCCGTGCTTCTGCGGGGAGAGCGCGCGCCCGGGAGCCCTGGATGTTTGCTTTCTTTTTTTTTTCTTTTTACCTCGCGGCGTTTCTGCCGCCCGTTGTCGTAAGGATTTGGCGGCGCGCTCTTGTTTAGCGCTCGTTCTGTGACACTGTCCCCCACTTTAAGAATATTATCTCATAATATTCAAAACCACACAGACGAGCGCGAACAGTCACCACACCCTCTCACAGACTGTAACACAATCCGTCGCTCATGACACTTCACATTCACAATAGATCACTTAATACAATTGTACATTGTAATTCAATTACACAACACCTGAAAACACAACCACAAGCGCATGAGTACAACACTCCACCACACATTCCCAATATACAAATGTACAAGGTTCTCTCACTACAACAATGGTACAATACTATACATCACATCACAGCACAACACTTCGACACTTGTGACACAGGATACCACAACATTAACACAACATAAGGCACTCAACACTGCAAACACATTCTGCTTTGGCCTCAGCACTTATCCTACGTACTTTGAGCGGCGCTTGCGCCCTTTCTTGCGGTGCTCGCTCGATCTCTTCTTGTGTTTCCACGTTCGGCGAGCCCTTTCCAACGACGATATCTGAGGCGTCGTCTCAGCCATCGCTGTCTTTTCCGACACCGTTAACGCGTCATTACATTCGACGGGTCCTGTCTGTTTATTTACCCGCTTGATCATGCCTCTACATCTTGCCCGGCTGGCCAACTCCGTCTCCTTTTCACTGTCGGTCGGTTGAGGTCGTGCCGACGTAAGTCCGGTTGCTCGGCCCGTGAACTTATTCGACACGATCGTCTTCTCCTTCGCTGTCTCTTGCGCCGCAGCTTCACCTTGAGCTCTAGTGAGATCCGTCACGGGATGCTCCTCCCCTGTGTCTCGCGGCCGCTGTGTTGGCGAGGGCTCTATCTTCGGGTCTTCTCCCAAACATTCTGGATCACTTGGCCCTCGCGCCCCGTCGATGTTTCCGATGACAAGGTCATACAGGGGGGTCGTCATGCATAAAGCAGTAACCTTCCCGCTGAAGTACGGGGTTTCCACCTCAATCTCTGCTTCGGGAAGCATCCGAACCGTACGGTCAATTAGGGAAACCGGTTTCGTTCTGCCTGTCAACTCTCTTTCCCGTACCAAATTTCTCCTCACGATAACCGTGGAGCTACTGGTGTCTCTTAGAACCGTAATCTTCTTGCCTGCAATCTTTCCAGGAAGCGTTGGCATTCCCTCCGTAACACCGGTTGGCTGTTTTGACATTACAGCCCCCACAATAGGAATTTTCTCCCCATTTTTCAATTCTACGAATCCGTCGGTGACGGCATTATTATCGGATTTCGGTGCTGCTTGCACACAGGATACCTGGTGAGTTTGACTCGCTCCGTTCCGACATGCATCTGCTTTGTGCCCAGTCTGACCACACTTAAAACATTTTACTACCGTAGGGCTCGTCAAGATCGTTCGACAGTTTTTCGCGCGATGACCCACTCGGTTGCACAGAAAACATCGCGGTATGCTCTCTGGTGCACGCTTCTTTTCTTCGGGAGCCAATTTCTTCGAGTCATCGGGACAATCCTTCTTGACCTTGGCCAAATTAGTTCCACCTTGCGCTTCCAAGAATTGATCAGCCAATTCAAGCATTCCTTAAAATGACTCCGCCTTCCTCTCTTTCAAATACAGCGACAGGCTTGGGTGGCAACTAGTAAGAAATTGTTCTTTAATTAGCAGCTCTCTGAGCTCATCGTACTCCTGTGCTGTCCCTGAAAGTTCAATCCATCTGTCGAAATAGTGGCAAAGTCGGGCAGCATACTGCGTAGCTGTCTCACCATCAGCTGGCTTTCCTGTCCGAAATCTGTCCCGGAATCCTTCCACGGTAAATCTAAATCGCTTCAACAAAGCCGCTTTCACCTTTGCGTAGTTGGCTGCATCGGTCGGCGTCAGCCTACCGTACACACTGAGCGCTTCACCACTCAAGCAAGTACTCAAAGCAGTTGCCCATTGCTGTTCCGGCCAATTCTGGCTCCTCGCAATCGTCTCAAATCTGTGGAGGTACGCGTCTAGGTCGTCCTTCCTTTCATCAAACGCTACGAGCAGCTTGCTTGGGTTCAAGCGGAAGCCGTGATCTTCCCGTTCGCTGCTTTCAACTCTAGCTTGGACGGGAGTTTCGCTTCGCTGTTGCAAACGGAGCCGCTCGAGTTCCATCTCGTGCTGACGCTGCCGTTCCCTTTCCTCTCTTTCTTCTTTCGCCCTCTCAGCTGCCAGTCTTTCTTTCTCCAGCTGCAGCTTCAATTGCAGCTCTCTTTCTTCTTTCAGCTGTCGCT